GGGTAGAGGGGGTTGGGGGGTGGGGGTAATCTAGGTTTTACTTTCAATACTGTCCCTATTAAAAACCACAAAACTAGTAAGAGTTAAAAGATCTTATTTAGAAGTTGAGAGTGGTATTCTTAACTGCTGAGCTACCTCTTCAGATCCAATGACCACATTCTTTTGCTTTTCTTTCTTTAAGGATATTTCTTTTAGTGTATGTATGAAACAGAATAAATGTTAAGGTCCATTACAATTGGTAGATTTAAAACCCAGTTTACCAAAAATGTTCGAAGTAGCTTTTGTTTAATATTGTTCAAAATTAAGGCAGAGAAAGTATTTTTTACTTATTCTAATAAAAACTATAATCACAGAGGAACTATGGGTGTAGTAACAATGTTGTAGAATACTTGCCCCAAACAGGCAAAGCCCGGGGCTTAGTCTCCAGCACAGCAAAACAAAGCAGAAAACCAAATTTTCTAATATAATCACAGTTGAAAAGTTATTTGCAAAATACCATAAAATCTTTTTCAGTACATCTTTTTTGTTGTCAAATATTCACACTGTTGCTGATAACTATAATATTTGCTAAAGAGTAGCCATGTTGATCTAAAAGATTTTTTTTTACAAAAGACAAATAAAAGCAAACATCGGTTTGGCTGCTATCTAGTCAGTCAATTCAGACTCACATAAATACTAGGTGTAGGTGGATTCAACTTGTCCTTTGGCAAGGGAGGGTATGGTGAAGATGGTGGTCTTGGAGGAGGACATTTATCCAACAAAACACTACTGTTAGACAGGCCATTTTTACCTAGATTCCTTTAAAAATAACAAGAAAGAGGGGGAAAAAAATCAGCTTTACATTTACATAAAAGGCAAAAAGTTCTGAATTAACTTCTAATTAAATGAATAGGCATTTTCATAAATCCATGAATTTTGAATCCAGTGGGAACAACAAGAAAAGTTATTTGTGCAAATATTGATTCCTACATGTTGCACTGAAGAAAACTACAAGTATAACATGTAAAGCATGGACAACATTCCCTATTTTGTTTGTGAATTCTTTATCTAAAGAACAAGTATGAGGTGTAATTTCCTTTCTATCACCAGAATCTTTCCCATTCAAGACTAATACATTGCTCAACCAAGAAAAAGTACAAACAGGTCTTATAATAGTTTCTTACTGTGTCTCAAATTATCTGTTAAAAGCAAGTTTGAAACAGAAATTTCTATGAAAACACTGTGATGTATATAGTCATCTATATAAGAGAATATAAACATTTTCTTCATTAGTACAATCTTAATGCTCTAGATAGATACTAAGTATTCATTTACTTTTAGAACACTTTTAGAACACTCAAGCCAGAGATAATTAAAACTTTATCGTAATACTACAAAGTAAACAGAAAAGGAAACAAAGTTAGGAAATAAGATGGTGATGGAGAGGATTTAAAAGAATTTGAAACAACCACATTTAGTAGAGAAATGGTAGTAATGTATTCTGTGAGCAAATCAACTATTCTTCAAATTTTCCCGCAAAAACCTTCTATACCATTAAGAAACTGATTCCAGGTTTCTTAATACCATGCCTATGTGAATTTCATCTCTGAGTTC